AAGAAGGTCTTGGCTGTCATTGACATCTTCTCCAAGTATGAGATGAATTCTTTGGTGGTGAGTGAAACGGAGAAGGCTGAACTTCAGGTCTTGGAGGCTTGGATCAATGTCTTCGGCCCACCAAAAAGATTGAGGACTGATGCTGCTGGATCCCACATGAGTGAGGCCTATCAGTCCTACATGGATGATCGCAACATCAAGTTGGAGCTCGTGCCGAAAGAAGCTCACCATCGCATGGGGACAGTGGAACGTCTCCATGCTGTCCGAAGAATGCAACTCCTGAAGATGAAACAGGAGGTCCCGAATGCCAAGCTGGAAGAAATCGTGCCCATCGCCTGTGCTTTGAGGAATCGTTTGAGAACAGTACACGGCTCATCGCCTGCCCAAATCGTGTTTGGCACCAATGGCACTGAAGGCGGCTTGATGGATGAACCTTTGTCCAACGCAGCTGATCCCTCACGACAGCATCAAGAACTACAACAACTGAGGTTGGCAGCCGCCAAAGCCTTTCATGATGCCAATACCAGTCAGACACTCCGGAAAGCTTTGCTCAGCAAAAGTCGTTCCGATCATATCCAGTTCTTTCCGGGTGATTGGGTTTACTACTGGCGAGAAGCCGAGAAACTCGAGCCCAGCCGATGGCGTGGACCAGCTATCGTGTGCGCGATGCAGCCTCGAGATGATGTCACGGCCGGTCCCAGACCATCTGTCTACTGGGTGGCCCATGGGGCTGCGCTCCTTCGAGTCGCACCTCAAAATCTTCGGGCAGAGACGCCTCGTGAGTACCATGCTCGACTCCAACATCTGCCGCACACGGCTCGCACTGCTGCTGTCGAACCGACTCTTCGTCGAGCCCTTGCCCCTGTCCGTGGCCCCGTTCGATTTCTTGACCTCTCTGGGGACCCACCTTTTGCTGATGCAACGGCGTCTGGACAGCAGCTAGAGAAAGAGCCACAAGAGCCGGAAGGCGGCGAAAAAGATGATGAAGCGGTCGAAGCACTAGCGCAAGGTAAGGAAGAGTCCAAGGAAGAAGAAGGGGCCACAGCTGAAGCAGATACACAACAGCCGCAGCCACACAAACCACAGCCACAGCAGGTTGAGACAGAACCACATTCGGCAGCTGCGGAAGCTCCAGCACAAACCAGCCCCGATGATGATGAAGAAATGACTGAAGTCAGGAAGCGAATCCATCCGGAGGAGGAAGTTGAAGAAAGGCCTGCGAAGGTCGAGAAGCCAACCGAGGAATTCGGGTCTAGCTCAACTGACCCACAAAGAAGAAGATCCAGGAGCCCCATGAGCCGAGATGAACGTGCCATCGCCTTCCAGTCCTACAACATGTCAAGGCAACTGGATGGGCTACCAGCTGTGAAGGAAGGAGATCCAGCTTTCCAGCGGTTCTTGGACGCCACTGAGCCGATGGATCATGATGAAGAGCTCATGGCTGAGACCTTCAACGAGCGCAACCTGAGCTATGAAGATAAGAAGGCCTTTGACGCAGCAAAAGATGCCGCTCTGATGGTCTGGATCGAGAACTCGGCATGGCGAGCAGTCCCAGAGACGGAAGCTCAGGAGGACGAGATTGTTCCTGCCAGATTCCTCCAAAGATGGAAGCCCACGCCTGAAGGACACAAGGCGAATGCTCGCGTCATTATCCAGGGCTTCAAGCATCGAGACGTGCTCAACGAGAACCTCTTGAAGGAATCGCCTACCCTGAGCCGACTGGGTCGCATGCTGGTGATGATATGGGCAGTACACCGACGGTGGCGCATCTGGTGTGCAGATGTCAAATCTGCCTTCATGCAGTCCAACACGATCGATGACACCACCAGAATTTATGTTCGACCACCGGCAGAGATGAGGAGGCGACCGGAGAGGTTGATGGGATTGAAAGAGCATGAGATCTTGAAGGCGACGAAGCCTGCCTTCGGAGATGTCCGTGCACCCCGGCAATGGTTCGAATCGGCTGATAGCTATTTGCGACAAGATCTCCAGCTCATCAACCATCCTCTGGACAGATGCGTCTACATGTCCCTCAGGAAGGCGACTGTTGAGGATGAGGACTTCCTGACCTTTGAGAAGGACCAAGAGAGATGGGTGGTGGACGGAATACTAGGACTACACGTCGACGACTTCCTGGGTGCCGGTGAAGGAATCTATGCTTTGAAAGATCTGAACCAAGATCCTCACGGCGAATGTCACTGCTTTCAGCACCGGTTGTTCCACTTGTCCCGAAGGTTCAGATTCGGGTCATGGGAGTTTGGCGACAAGATGAGGTTTTGCGGTGCTGAGGTCAAGCAGTCGGACGATTTGGAGATCATCACCGTCTCCCTCCAGGAGTATGTCCACAAAGTGAAGCCCATCTCGATGGAGAAGAGCCGAAAGACAATGGTGGATGACTGGTGCACTGAGAAAGAACATCGACTCTTACGAGCCTTGGTGGGAGCCATGTCGTGGCCGGTGACTCAATGTCTTCCACAGGCAGCAGCCACGATATCGCTGTTGCAGGCCAATGTCAACAAGCCCAAGGTGAGAGATTTGCTGGAGGCCAACAAATGTCTCCGATTCATGAAGGAGGTGGTCAAAACCTTTGTCTTCACCTTGCGGAGACATTGTGACATGGAGCATTTGCGGATTGGCTTGTACTGTGATGCCGCCTGGTCAGTTCGACCGGATGGAAGCTCTCAAGGAGGAATGCTGATGTTCCTTGCAAGTCACGACGAGATGGAGAGCGATCAAGCCTTCCCGCTCACGATCTTCGACTGGGCAAGCAGAAAGTTGACACGTATGTGCCGAAGTTCACTGTCGGCAGAGGCCCAAGCTGCGACCATCGCAGTGGACGAGCTGGAATGGGCTAAGGTGTTCTTTGCAACGGCTGTCAATCCCTACTTGGCGATCCAGGAGGATGAGACAATGCATGTCTTCGGTGAATCCCCCGTCATCACGGACGCCAAAGCCCTTTTCGACAGCACGATTTCGGTGACACCAGGACTCAAACTTTCAGAGAGGAGGACAGCAATTGAGATAAGCATCCTCAGGGAGCGAATGGCAGCCGCTCAATGCAAGGTGAAGTGGGTCAACTCCAAACAGTAACTGGCAGACGGACTGACGAAGCCGACGGCCAAAGATGAGCTGGCCTATGTGCTTTCAAGAGGAGTTCATGCGCTGAAGCACGATCCACACTTCACGGCTGCGAAGAAAGTCACTTCAGAAGCTCGGAAGATTGAAGAGAAGGAGTACGAGCGAGCCGCTGAAGAGCTGTTTGAAGGGCAAGCATTCGTTGTTGAGGATGCCAAGAGCAAAGAAGAGAAGGGATTCTGTCGCTTGCCAGGCTGTTCGAAGATGAAGGACAGTTCACAAGCTCGGAATGCCTACTGCTGCCGGAGACACTACTACCTGCACCAGTTCCGAATGGGAAACGGTGGCGATGAGTGGAGAAAAGCAGCGACGTGCGCTATATCGCTGTTGGCAGCTGAGAGCATCCCAGAAGTCGGAGCAAGCGGAGAAAGCGAAGACGAAGACCATCGCATGTTCAACACACTGCTAGTGATTTTTCTATTCTCACTGGTTGGAATGTGTGGCACGATTTGGATCGTGAAGGACATGGTGTGCACTATGGGCAACAAGGTCAAGGAGATCTTTGTTCGAAAGTTTGTGAACTCCCCACCGAATGAGGAAATGATTGAGAATGTCGTTCAAACGACGAGCCATGGAGAGACGGAGAATGACATCCTAAGCCATGGCGTTGGTCTTCAAGTTCCGGATCCCGAAGAGGATGATGGACTGGAGTCAGAAGAAGACGAAGCAGTGGAATGGAGCGATAGCGAAGAGCTGAGGTGGAAACGCCTTTTCGAGGAGGTGAACAAGGAAGAAGGTCAGCGTGATTGGATGGTGGCTTCAAAAGAGAAGCTGTGGACCACGGAGGTGTCAGCTCACATGAGGGGACACGTCGTCCATCATTCCTTGCCTAAAGTGAGATGCAAGGAATACATGAGATTGAGACTGCGAAAGAGAAGCAGCCAGGTGAGGGATGAAGAGATCAAACAATGGCATCGTTTTCTGAATGACCACTTCACGATGCTGATCGATCTTCACCGTGGCTTTCGCAAGAAAGAGGCGCAGGTGGCCATGATGCAGGAGGAAATGATGATGAGCCCACACCGAAAAGAGAAGAAGAAGTTCGAGAACAATGAAGTGCAAGACAAGATCCAACAGACCTGCCTGACATTCAACAACCACACGGGAGAGATGGATTCCCTACCGAGCCAACGGCATGGTGCCTGGCTTCATGTGAGTTGCTTTGAGAGCAGGGTGTGAGAGAAAGGAGAAGTGGGCCTGAGAATTTTAATTTTCCATGGATGGGGTGCTGAATTTCATTTAACAGCTTTTGCCCTGTCTTCTTGAACGCTTTCGCATTCAGCATTTCATGCATTACATGTGCATGTGCTTGTCGGATTTCTCACTTTCATGTCCTGTGGCCATCAGGGCCCTTGAAGCCTAGCAGGTTACGACCCAAACGAAGCGTTGAAACAGGTGCGGAACTCGTTCGCCGTTCTACCTGAACAAGCAGAGAAACTGTATAAGCAGTATGCCTCACTTACACTAACAGGTGCATCGCTACTAGTAGCAAATAGCTACTAGTAGCTTTTTGCCACTAGTAGTAAGGCATCCTTGCTTTGTTTTTTCCCCAGTTGGCTAAGCACCAGCGCGTCCCCGAGTCATAAGACTTGGACTTCGATCCGAGTAGGCCGCCAGCTTTTGCGTCCAGACCGTCAACACAGCAGACAGTTTCAATTAGCAAAGACAGTGTCAAAAAACACGCTGGATAAAAACACGATGCGAAGATCTCAGATACGATCAATGCCCCGGAACGAGCACATTTAGGTTGTGTGGGGGAGCGGTAACATCCGCACACACCAGGCCCCACAGATTGCACATACAGAGAACATATTTTGCATTACCAGGTGACACATGTTCAAGCACAGAATGATCAAGGATGAGGGGCCCAAGCGACATCTAAAAAAATACAATACATGGGCGCCATGGAGAAGGATGCCTTCGCCAAACTCTTGGACAACTCCTGGCAAACCTTCCGGCAGCAACTTTTAGAGGTGCTTGGATGCCGAGCGTCCACGTCCTCGTCCGTGTTTTTATTGATGTGTACGGAGGGATTTGGACGATCTGGCTCTTGTTTTCTTTGTGGTGCAAATTGACAGACGTTCTTGCGATTTGGACCATTGATTGTGGTGACCCAAGCAAGTGCTTATGTGGTGTTTGAAAGGTTCATACACGTTCACACTAATTAAAAGTTACTAGGAGCAAAGGGCATCGCTACTAGGAGCGTTCGGACGCTACTAGGGGCTCCTGGCCTTACTACTAGGAGCAAGGTTCGCTATTAGAAACAAGAAATACACATTAAACTAGTTATTACACGTTCACCCTTTTCAGAGTCTTGGCACACTTGGCGCCCGCCTTCCAGTGGTTGCGTCCCCAACGTTTCTAGCAGAGGCGTTCCCAGATGACCTGGGCGTTCACCACACCAGCTCCCTGAAGAGCCCCAAGGCAGGGAAAGAAAGAACGGCTCATTGCGCCAGATGTAGATCGTCTTGGGATGAAGACCATCGGTTTGTGTTTTTCTGTGTTTTGATGTGCTTTGGCTCCCACTTGTTTCACCCTTGGCTTTTGCTTTGCTTTTTATTTTTCTCCGGTGCTCGCTCAGTGACCCTGGTATTTTTCGCTGTTAGATCCAGAACTCACCAGCTCCCTTTATTAAAGCTAGAAAGCTAGGAAGACGACACATTGATTTGTGCCAAGTCCTTCTTGAATCTTTTGGATTGGATCTGTTGGATCACAACCTCGTACCTTTTCCGTTTTTTGCAACCTTTCCTACACTGACCGGTGAACAGATTTGTCTAAGCAATCCCACTTGGCAGGAGGTTCTGAAAACAATGGCCCCACTCCACTGGCAGCACAGAGAACTCTTACGCTCATCTCTTGTTCTTATAACACTTCATGGGTCTCCCTCTTTTTGACTCAGTCGAGCATCCTACAGTAGATCGATTCAAACTCTTAAGAAGCAAGGCTGCAGGTTTCCCACGTCAAACACCATCTTGCAAAGGCTTGATTGTGTCGTCCATCTACTGTCGTGAACCTGAGCGCTCTTTGTCCTCAATGGCCTCCCTAGTAGCGATGGCCCGAGGTGGACCACCACAGCTCTTTCAAGTCCCGAAAAGTGATGGAGAGCGCGGGGGTGAGTGAGATCACAGAGATCGATGAGGCCTTGCTGCGTCTTTTGTGGTTCATGGGCTGCAATGCAACCAGTGCGGACACACTTCCTCCAAGCTAAGAGCGATGGCCTCCATCAGATGATTCAGCTAGAACCTGAACTGGAAAGAACATCTGGCTTCGCGGAACTGTGCAAGAGTCTAGGAGGTTCATTGATCAAGCCATAGAACCAGTCTTTGACTGGCCAATCCTAACACAGAAACCACATAGGAGCAAGAACGCTACTAGGGGCTCCTGGCCTTACTACTAGGAGCAAGAACGCTACTAGGAAACTGTGCCATTGGTTGGAGTCACCACTGCCAGACCGCCACAATAGCGATGGCCTCCAACCTAATAGCAATTACCTCCAACTAGCGATGGCCTCCGAGCATTCCTTTTTTTCCAGGATGTCTACATCGCGTCAGCCGCTCCCCAAACCTTGAAGTCCGGCTTGACTCGCGGCCAACAGAATCGAGGAATGAAGGAATGAAGGGACTGTCTGGGGCATGTTGATTGTAGCTATGCCAATTGAATGGCATGATCGGAAGCCAGTTCTTGCTTCCTGCTACAAGCACTAGAGAGAGTGTTACAGTCTACCTCTTTCTGTACACTATTTACCGGTTTCTTACTGTTCCCTCTTTGGAACATTTCGGCTCCGAGGAAGGGCATGCATGCTACGGAAGCGTTGCAAACCAGTCAGAGGCTCCGTGTTCGTTTGGGCGCCATCACCTCCATGTCACTTGGATGCGCCACGAGAGAGGAAGACGGCATCCTGATGCCGGAAAATGACAGAACGGCCAATGGATTTCATTCATGACGTGTTTGCAGCGTTGCCAACGTTTGTCAGCCAAACTATGTACAAGTGAAGCTGATGCACGTGGATTGGAAGCCCCCCCTGTGTCAACACTGATGTTGACATTGTAGTGTGAATAGTCATAGACCTGGTCCTTGGAAAACAGGAAAGGGTACGTATCAACCAAGTGCAGGTGATATCGGGTACCATCCCAAAACCCAGGCTTATCCACATGCGCCATCCAATTGAGGATGTAGGCGTATGACGTGTGAGGAGTGAGCTTACAAGAAAGAAAGAAAGAAAAGCCAAGAAAAGAAAAGAACGGACAAGACAAGAAAAGAAAAGAAAAGAAAAGAACGAACGAACGAACGAACGAACGAAAGAAAGAAAGAAAGAAAGAGGAGCTTGGCATCCCATTTCTATATTTGGCAAGTGCTTTGCTGACTGAGGAAGCTTGTGTCGGGCCAGTCGCTCCATGACGCAGTCGCAGCGTTAGGCCTCACACGCTTCACCGTTGAGGACACGTCCTGTCGGCGAAGTGCGAGTGTGAGCTATCCTGCGTCCATACTAGCAGCTTAAGTAATTAGCTAGTAAGCTAGTAGCGGCCTCCAACCTAGCAGCCCAAGTAGCTAGTAGCGAACTTCTTAAGTAGGCACCTACAAAATGAAAAGTAGGGAGGCGGGGCCAAGCGCGCCAAAAAAAGGCTCGGTCCATGTTGTGCTCCTTGCATGTTCGGCTCCATGGTGTTGTATGTAATGGATTTTGATGGGTTGGGGTTTCCGTTGTTGGCGCTGTCAGTTTTCATCTCAAGCCTTATGCCATCACCGTGTTGCACCACCTGATGGGGTTCGTGTTCTTTGCTTTCAGACAGATCAAGTTGGGAACGGGCTATACAATGCCGCATTGCAAAACATGGCGAACTGTGTAGGCTTTCATGTTTCCTCGTTGAACACGCAGTGCCTTTGAGGTACTGTTACGGGAGAGACGATTTCGCTCCAGTTCCCTGACTGGTTCACCTATGTTCACCTAGGCTTGGCTTATCTAGGCTGTTTTTTCATCCTTGGGTAGACACCCGTTGCTTCCATATCTTCCATGAAAAGTGACAAAAGGAACGGAATGATGAATGATGTGTCAAGTTCAAAGAGGGGCTTTTTGGGGGTAGCTGTTTTCCTCAAGGTTTCAGTACTCAAGTGTTTGGAATTTGATAGATCTAATCTTTCTCAAACTTAAACTGGAGGGAACGAGATTCTCTGTCTTCTTTTCCAGGAGATGAACGACTTCGTGAACACCATCGCAGAGTTCATTTGTTTGGACTTCGTTCCGGATCGACAGGTCTCGAGTGCTGATGGCACTTTTGAGTCTCTTTGCTAGAATCTCCCCTGTGGGCGGTTTTGGTTCTTAGTTTTGCTTTGCACGTTTGCAAGAAGCTCAAAGAGGTGTCTTCTTGGATCCAAACCCATGAAGAAGACCTTAAGAGATACAATTCCATCGAATTTCATGCCAAGAGCTGCAGCAACAAGGACAGTTTTCATTGACGATTTGACCCCAATAGTCGCTGCTTGTTACTATAGTAGTAAGGTCAGGAGCTACTGGTAGCGATGCCCTTGTTCCTCGTAGCTTAATACATATGCCTCTTGCCCAGCCCACAAGGCGCAGACTAGGTGACGAAATCGGGCTTCAAAGAACCGGCGGCACCGAGGGGGCACCGAGGGCACTCGTTTCGTTTCCCAGGTCCGATAACCCCTACGGGACCCCGGTGTGGAGTTGGCCAAGTGCGACCAGCCAATCCTTCCGGAAGTCCGTGCAGAACGTTGCAGTGACCTCCTTCACTCCAAGGAGAGTGAGGGCTTTCGATGGGAGTGGAGAGAGTCTTTCAAATGGGAATGTACATGGAGCCCCTAAGCCGCTAGGGATTGAATCAAAGCCGATTGATTGAATTCAACATCTACCTTCCCTGACAAGGAAGACTTACAACCTCGTGCCAGCACAAGCTTTGATGGAGCTTTTTCTGGCTGAAGAGGGTGGCATCCACAAGAGGCGGGAGTGGATGACACGGTGCAACCATCGGAAGAAGGTCTTGGAGTCAGTGACGAAGGTCTTGGGCTTAAAGTCGGTTAGACATAGAATTTAAGTTAAAATTAAATTGAATTAATAGCTTCTTGTTACTACTAGTAAGGCACCTGTTACTACTAGCGTGGCACTTGTTCCTACTGACGAAGAAGGAGTCAGTAGTGGTCCATATTATTACCCTTTGATAGCAGAGTGAGATCACCAGACAGGCTTTCTCAATCAGACGGATGAGCCCTCCCCTACATCACCACATCATCAGTGTTAATGACCGGCACATCAATGAGTGCTCATCCCACTGGAGAATTCCATATTGGAATCCACGACAAGGAAAGTCTGCTTTGCTTCAGTCTCAAGACCTGCAAGGTTTGCACATGAACCGCAATGCACCTAGCAAAACTGTTAGCTTCCCACTTACTAGCAATGGCCTTCAAGGGCTTATGGCACCTGGCAAAACTGTTAGCTTCCCACCAGGCCCATTCATTGAACGCTACTAGGAACAAGGACGCTACTAGGGGCTCCTGGCATCGCTACTAGGAGCAAGAAGCTACTAGTAGCTTTTTCATTGAACTCAGTTTCCACCCTTTGCTCATCGTCTTGAGAAGGCTCTTTGGGCCACGGTTGATGACGCAGTTCCAAGCGATGAAGGAGATTTTATTGGCTGGCGACACGAATCGCTGCCCGGCACAAGAGAGGTGATCGCAGGCAGAAAAAGGAACAGGCGGACCTTTCGTGTGAGGCAAGGACCTTTCTTTTTCTTTGCGCGTTTGCGGGAACTCAAAACGAAGTTCCCCCTTCGTCGAACGAAAAAAATCATCATGATTCTACGAGCGATGCCCTCCGGTCGGAGCTTTGAGTAGAAACCTACTAGCGATGGCCTCCAATATGCAAAAATATGTGCCGGAAAGCGGATCCCACCTTTTTGCTCGAAACTCCGCAGCTTGAGGCCTTGTGGCTGAACTGACGTTTGTCGCTGCCTGAGGGAAAACCACACGCATGTGGGAGAACGGGAGACGTGCACACAAATGTCACCGCCATAGCGCGGCAACACATCAATGAAGCAAGTTCTTTTTGTGATGAGAGACTCATGTATATATTTATCATAATAGATGATTTGTTTCTTTTGGCTAAACTGCACAATCCCTGTCGGCACTGTCAAATGCAATGACGTATATAAATTGTGACAAGAACGTCCATGCGATTTGTTCCCTGGCCGCATGGCATGCATGCCACATGGTTTTCGCAACTGATGGCGCTTGAGGTTCGGATCAACGACCTTGCCACCCCGCCCGAGCCGACCCATCCCCTGATGTGCGCCCGGATCCGACTCAAAGTGAAGCGTTGGGTTCAAACGGAAAACTGACTTCTGACCACAATGTGGAGCCTTGCTATCACTTTCATGTGGACATTTCCAAAGCAGAGGCTGAAGCTTTGCACTACTTCGGGCCTTCCATGAATGCATTTCAGAACCTGTATATATACGGTATAGATGTGGCCTTCCAGAACGTTAGCACGCAACCGCCACTGGCGCGAGGTACATTGAACCGTTTGTCGGTTTGCTCATCGTGTGCAATGGCATCATGTACCTCGGCACTTGACGGTTCGGCCACTCGCATCTTGCCAAGCCGTTTGCGGCTGGAAAGACCAGACCACACGTCATTTTCGACCTGTTTTCACTTTGTTTCTGAGATGCAGGCGTCGGATGTGTCGATTCCGAGCTGAGGATTGGCTTCCAGACAGACCCGCTCTTTGAGAACTGGCCTGGATGGATCTGGTTCGAGCTGCTGCTCGTCACAATGAAGTGAACTGTTTGGAGAGATTGATTCTCTACAAAACAATCCGAATCCAATAGGTTTGAGGAATGCTAGGTTTGAGGCCGCTACAAAACAGTTTTCGGTTTTCACACTTGACTGGCCAAGATTTGTGAGATTCATGGGCCTCTAAGTGATTATATAGTCAGGCCTTCCTGAGAGAAGAGGTCGGTTGAACAGTTGATGCGAGCAGGGAGTGCTGCTTTATTTTTCGACTTGCTTGGTTCTTGAAATAGTTCTTCGACCACTTGCGGACTGTTTGGCATAAAAAGCGGTAGCCTTCTTGTTTCGACACCGCGGGTTGAGCTTCATCGGACCACCCGGGGCCTTAAATGGAACACGACACGCTTGAGACATCGACACCTAGGGCCTTTGCATCAATCCTTCTCATGGAGATTGGCTTGCGGATGCATTTGTTGCGCTGCAGGGGCTACTGGTGGGGACCAGAGCGCTTGTGCCTTGGAAGCGCTTCGTGCGATGGACTGGTGTGAAGTTGGATGCGACTTGGGGAGAGGAAGTCACGACTGACACGACCATTTTTGAGCCATTGAAGATCAAAGCTGACAGACTTAGGGAAACACGGAAGACACGCGTTCCATTTATTTTTGTTATATTTGATCACTTGAGTGCAATAAGTGGAATGCAGTTGGAGACAAAGAGAGAACCCGTGCTTTCTACGTGCAAGAACTCTTTCTGCTTTTCTTAAGGGTGTTCATTCTTGGACCGGTTTGATCCCAATTTTTGCTGCCAGATGGAACTGGTTTGATGTCTTCTTGGCTGGCACTGGGGTCAGTGATGTCACAATTCAGATCGCAACTTGGCACAAAGTAGCTGCAGAAGGTGTCACAACCAGTGTCACATCTCGTGGCTTCTCCTGCAAAGAATCCGTTGAACGGCCGAAGGAATGGCTGGTGACGCCCATAAGCAAAACGGCGAGCCTTGTAAGGTGTAGTATGTCACTCGAATATTAAAGCTGGCCCAGGTATCCAAGACCAACTCAGAGATGATGGGCACATCTCTATTGCGGTTTTGTCGACTGATTCGCTTGGCCAGGACAGGCACAACTGTTGAATTCACATCTATTATATAAATTTTCCAATTTATATATTCGGAGAAAAACATAAGAAACGAAGTAACAAGATGTGCCGGCACATGTACCGCGCCAGGATTGTGAAAGTCTTTCGCTTGAGATTCATGAAAGACCTGCGGCTCATGGTGAAGGGATGGACCTTCGGCATTTACTTTGGCATTTTTTCTAGATTCTAGATAATGTGTTTATGATGTTTTCGAACTTTCCTCTGTGATGTTGGAAAGAGAAATGACGGGTCTCAATATTCCGGGAAGTTCCAAGATGACTTGCATTTATCCTAGGAGCAAGAGGACGCTACTAGGAGCAAAGGGCATCGCTACTAGGAGCAAGGACGCTACTAGGGGCTCCTGGCCTTACTACTAGTAACAAGAAAGCTACTATTTTCATTTTCTCATTTGTTTTCCACGAAGAGTCTGGCGGAGTGAGTTTTGAGTTTCCTTCCGAATTGCCAAAGGATCGCAGGGATTCGAACACTCGCCTTGGCCTTCACTTTGCTCTTCGCCGTGCTTTACGTGATTTCGGGCTTTGCTGCTATGACAATAGGCCGGCAAAGCATTTCTAGTCAAGGGCATGCCCCAACCTTGTCGATAACGAATGCGAGAAAGCGACCTTGGCCGTAGCGGCCGTAGCACCTGGTTCTGGTTCGAGGCGCATCCTCCCGGACACCGGCGGATCTGCAGCCCTTCTTTGAGACGATCCCGAACACCATGTTCACCGCCTTCCGATGCTTTACGGGAGAGTGTGTGAATCACCAAGGTGCCATGGAGAGTTCAGTGTGTGTTTTTGCCACTTAATTAAGTAGGCGCCTATACTGAAGCCCCTTACTTCCTTGAAGGAGTGCTTGCACTGATTTGGTTCCTAGATTTTTAGGGAAACTCAACTAGTTAGTAGCAAGAAGCTACTAGGGGCTCCTGGCCTTACTACTAGGAGCAAGGACGCTACTAGGGGCTCCTGGCATCGCTACGAACGGAGCATTCTTACTACTAGTAAACTCGACTTGAGAGAGAGAGAGAGAGAGCTGCTTGGACCTGTTGCAGTATCGGAGAGAACCGCGTGCGGCCCCCTTCTTCCTTGTTTGTGGAGGTCATTCGATCACCTCGCTTTTGGCCGATGAGTTTGGGGTGATCTTCATTTTGTCCTTCGTAGCAAGTAACTTGGGCTGGATCTAGTCGTGCGATTGCGCCAAGAAGGCAAGAGAAGAACAGCTACTAGCAACAAGGGCATCGCTACTAGTAGCTCCTGACATTACTACTAGCAGCAAGAAGCTACTAGGAAGAAAGGGCATCGCTACTAGTAGCCAGAAAAGAGAAGGTGTGATTGCGCCAAGATGGCGAGAGAAGGTCAGAAGAACCGCTGACGTGGAGCTTTTCATGTGATTCAAGGCTACATGCTGGTGACGATGGGTATCTTCAATGTCATTTTGGCCGTGTATGTCAGAAGCTTGGAAGCCCCTAGTAGCGTCCCTGCTCCTAGTAGCGATGCCCTTTGCTCCTAGTAGTAAGGCCAGGAGCCCCTAGTAGCGTCCCCTGTATGTCAGAAGCTTGGAAGATGCCTCCAGATTTTGTTTAACACTTCAGGTTCAATCTGCATGCAATGCTTGGAGTGCGTGCGTTTCCTGAGGTTGACATTACAATGAAGGCGGCCAAGGAGTGCCAATCTACTCCTAGTAGCTTCCTAGTAGCGATGCCCAGGAGCCCCTAGTAGCGTCCTCTTGCTCCTAGTAGTAAGGTCAGGAGCCCCTAGTAGCGTCCGAACGCTCCTAGTAGCGATGCCCTTTGCTACTAGTAGCGTCCTCTTGCTCCAAGTAGTTTTGGTTTGTTTTGAGTGTTTGTTGTCCCTTTTGTCACTCGCGAACTGAGTGGCAAGAACTAGCCGAAGAGCAGCTGGCTAACATTTCAAGTCTTCACGGTCAAGGGGTCAAAATCAATCGCCTTGTCTTTCAACCTAATAGCAAAGGGCATTGCTACTAGGAACAAGGACGCTACTAGGGACTCCTGGCATTACTACTAGGAGCAAATAGCTACTAGTAGTAATGCCCTTGTTACTAGTAGCGATGCCCTTGTGACCACGAGCGACGACGGTTACAGGAGAATGAGGCAGTGACTGCTGAGCAATATGCTCGAGAGTCCATCCGCATAGCACGGACGACCAGAGAGCTATTGAAGAAGTTCCTTGGAGCTGCATGGTCGTCCAATCCATTCGTCCAATGAGCTGCATGGTCAAGTAGGGCAATGGCCTCCTCGCTCATAGCGATGGCCTCCCCGGCTAATAGCGTGCACTCTGAGCTGTTTGGCACAACTTCCAACTGTGTTGCCCATGAGCTCTTGAGAATGTGTCAGATCGCTGCACTTCGGCAGGTTTGCGGCTGCACATCGTGACTTCATGGCGATGGAGGAAGCCTTTGACTTCACAGGGAAGAACTTCAATCCAATGCCTGCGCTCTTCACAGACGATGATGTGCACGAGCAGATTGAGATCTCCAAAGAGCTCTTCCTGGTTGTGACCTGGTGGCCAATGAAAACTACTTCCCATTGGTTTCGTCATTGGTTTCGTCATTTTCCTTACCGAAAACTGTGTGAAGAACACAGAAAAGCGAAGGTGAAAAAGCCGTTCCCTCGTCGAAACTTGAGGTGATCCAAGACCATTCCGTGCAGCGCTTAATGGACGACTTGGATCTTCCTCCAGACCGTGCCAACCTCTTTGAGGCCATCGCTTCTAGGTTGGAGGCCATTGCTATTAGGTTATCTTGCTTGTCGCTCAATGAACGACTTGGATCTTCCTCCAGACCGTGCCTCTGAGACCTCAGCATTGCTTAAGTAGTAGCGTCCCAGGCAGGAGAAAACTCCGAATCAGCGACCAGCTTTCCGAATCAGCGACCACGAATCAGCGACCAGATTTCGCGAATCAGCGACCAGCTTTTCCGAATCAGCGACCAGGTACCAGTACCAGCGACCCGTTTTCGCAAAGTAGCGAAAAGGTAGCAACAGGGCTTAGCGTCCGTAGGGGATGGCGAAGTGACACTGGTAATCGTCAAGGCTCGGTGTTTGATCGAAGTGTTCCATCGGCGTGTCCGGCTTTAAGTCATGCTATTCACGCATGCCTCTCGAGATCTTCGAAGTGCGCTTCGACTGCGCAGGCTCGCAAAATCCGGTTTAGGGCTTCACTTTTTAAGGGCTTGCTTGGGCTTTGCTTCGGGCTTGGCTTCTTTGGGGGTTGTTTGTGCTCGGCTTCGGGTTGACTTCTTTAGGGCTGTTTTGGGCTTGGTTTGGGGTTACACTCTTTTAGGGTTTGTTTTGGCTCCGCTTAAGGCTTGACTTCTTTAGGCTTTGGGCTTGTGGCTTGGCTTCTTTGGGGGTTGTTTGTGCCTGGCTTAGGGTTGATTTCTTTAGGGATTCGTCAGGTTTGGTTGAGGGTTTCGCTTACTTAGGGCTTGTTTGGGCTTTGTTTAGGGCTTGACTCCTTTAGGGTTTGTTTTTGATCTTTGAGGGCTTGACTTCTTTAGGAGGATTTCCTTGAGCTTGGGGTTTGATTGAATTGGTTTAGGGCTTGGTTTCTTTGCGCGAGTTTGATTGGGTTTGGTTCAGGGCTTGGCTTTTTAAGGCTTTGTTTTGGCTTGTTTAGGGTTGATACAGGGCTTGACTTCTCTGGGTTGCTTAGGTTTGGTTTCAGCATTCACTTCTTTCGGGATTGCTTTGGCTTTGTTTAGGGCTTGGCTTCTTTAGGCGGGTTTGTTTGGGCAGCGTTTACGGCTTGGCTTCTGTAGGCTTCGTTTTGGCTTGTTTAAGGTTGGTTTAGGGCTTGACTTCTTTGGGGTTTGTTTGTGCTTGGCTTAGGGGTGACTTCTTCAGGGCTTCGTCAGGTTTGGTTTACGGTTTCGCTTATTTAGCGTTCGCTAGGGCTTTGTTCAGGACTTGGCTTCTTTAGGCTGTGGTTGGGCTTGGTTTATGGTTTCGTTCGTTTTTTCTCTGGCGGGTTTCTTGCTTCCGCCTGCTGCAGTGACTGTTTCGGATTGGTTTCGTTCATTTTTTTCTCCGGCGGGTTTCTTGCTTCCACCTGCCGCGGTGATAGACTTATAACTTAGAACTCCGAATCAGCGACCAGTTGGTGACGGATTCGGGTTGGTTTGGTTCGGTTTTTCTCTGGCGGCTTCCTTGCTGGCGCCTTCCGCGGTGAGCTTCAGCTTGGTGGAGAGAACTCCGAATCAGCGACCCGTTGGTGTCCAATTCGGCGTTCTGGTGGCCGATTCCTGGCGTCCGATTCGGACGCCGCCCTCTTAGGCAGTGCCTTCTTAAGCTACTTAACGCTTACCGTTAGCTAATTAAGCTTGCTGCGGCCTACTTGCCCACCTACTTGCCCACAGGGCTAAAGAGAGACTCATTGTATATCAGCTCACTGTATAGCAGCGACGGCAGGTGATTGACGCTGATGGATCAGGCACGCTGCACATCACCGAGCTGGTGCAGGCGCCGCGATGACCGCGGTCGTAGCGCCGATCAGTGGGGGTCAACGTTTGGTCCAAAAGGTTCGAAGCATGTGGTCTATGAGCCTTGTGGTCGTGGAGGCCATCGCTAGTAGGTTGGAGACAAAATGCTACTAGGGTGGAGGCCATCGCTTGATGATAGATGGCAGTTCACAGTATTTGGATTCATTGAGAAAGGACAAAGACTCACACTGTACAATTTATACGTTCTCACAGTGCTCACAGCATTGTTTTTGATCGTGCGACCGAAGCTCATGCCTTTGAGGTGGCAAGACTTAAAATGGAACGATGAATAGCAATTGACATGATCCATGGTTTAGAGGCACGCGGTTCAACCATTTTTTTCTAGTCAAAGTAACCTTCAGCTCACGCTACAAGCTCAGGGAAAAACAAGGGATGGACGTCGCGAAGGCGTGGCGTTAATTTGCATGGTTGGTGTGCGCAAAGTCTCATGAGGGTAATGGTTTTTGCGCTTTGTTAGCTTTCTAGCAAAAGTTCTTTTTTTTCCAAATGTATTCAATTTGCAGTGAAAACAGCGTTTTCGGAAAAGTTTTTGATATTTAGGCGTTTGCCGCGCTGCCTTTTCCTGCTCACTTCGACCCGCTTCTCATCGCTTTTGCGATGGCAGGGAAGCGATTATTGCCTCTGTTGTGGTACGGAAACTGCCAACTCCAAACATAATTCAAGAGTTCCGGATTGACAGCTCGACTCTTTGCAAAGGTTGTATTCACATGCTTGGGTATCCAAGCTTTCAAGCTCTTCCATGAGCTGTCAGCCAGTTGTGTTCCACCTATTTTCGACGATGTGGGCGTAGGCTTCTTTTTGAGTTTCTTGGTGAACTGTTGCTTCACATGTTTCACCTGCACTGTCTTTAGTTTATTGTGAGCTTCCTTTGCCTTTGTAGGCCACACAGGAGCACCGCCGCTGTAAAGCAAACGAAGTTACGAAGTTATTTTAAAGTAAGCAAAGTACGAAGTTATCTTCAAGTGAACGCACGAAAAATAATCGACGTCGTTGCCCCCCCCCCACCTCCCCACCCACGCCATGCACCCCGTGTTTTCACGAAGCGCGACCACAAAATAGCACACCTCTCACGACGCCCTCGTGGGACCCGTACCAAAAACAAGGAAGCTGGACATTGCCGAACACGAACTTATGATTGGAAATGTCCCTCCTGGGTCAAAGAATTGCTGTAGCACAGCATAGTATGGATTTTGCTATGGCTGGCAGGGCCTGCTGAAGATTAGGGGAGACATCAGCAAGAGTGCTGCTTGGTTGTGAGACGAGTGGACCTACAGATCCTTCTCAAGACGGGCTGAAAGTCCTCATTGGCGGCTGGAGTACACATTGTTTCACTAGTGTCAAGACAACTCCAAACCGTGTCGATAACGAAATGTCTTGCACTTAACTTCCCTGAATATTTCAAAAAGAACGACAATGAGAAAGGAAGAGCAAAAGACAAAATGACCTTGGGTCCTTTATTTGCACCATGACTAACTTAGAATGCTTTCCTTTGCAGCGCTACCCGCAGTCTGCGCCAAGGACACCGTGGCGTCCTTGTTGGCCACCAAGGCCGTCCAACGCATTGACCCTCGGAGCAGACATTGATTCAATCTATCCTTGTTTCTTTTTGTTTTTTGTTTTTGCTTCCTTTCTTTAGGCCATCGCTTTTAGGTTGGAGGCCATCGCTATTAGGTTGGAGGCGATCGCTACTAGGGTGGAGGCCATCGCTACTAGCGTGGAGGCCATCGCTACTAGCGTGGAGGCCATCGCTACTGGGGTGGAGGCCATCGCTACTAGCGTGGAGGCCATCGCTACTAGCGTGGAGGCCATCGCTACTGGGGTGGAGGCCATCGCTTTTAGGTTGGAGGCCATCGCTACTATAGGGTCGAGGCCATCGCTATTAGGCTGGAGGCCATCGCTATTAGGGTCGAGGCCATCGCTACTGGGGTGGAGGCCATCGCTATTACGCAGAAGGCCATCGTTGCTAGGGTGGAGGCCATCGCTATTAGGTTGGAGGCCATCGCTACTAGGGTCGAGGC